ATATCTGAAATGCATCAAAGAAAATGACTCCATTAGCTTTATGGTAATCAGAAATATAGTTTTCATTCAGGGAAAAAAATACTGATGATGATGTTTGGAAAAGATTAATAAAGCAGAAGCTCGCACAGTTTGTTTGTGGAGGTGTTGCAGTTTTGGAACAAAACTTGTGGCTATTGCCTCTCCCCTAACATGTTTTTCTCACAATATCTCCTCTCTCTCTCATTCTTCCCTCTTTTACAAAAATTTTCCATTTTTATTTCTAGCCTTTCACTTCTATCCTCGGAGGTTCCAGTTTTTTTCTTTGCAACCATCCCTTTCTAAAACTCTCATAACAGTAAGTTACATCTTACCCTGGATCCCTATGCCAGTTTTGACATCTTAACCCAACAAAATCTTATTTAATGAAGGCTGCATGAACTAATCTGATGTCACAGTGTTCCTACAAGTCAGATAATGATAATTTTAATGTTATTTGGCAGTATTCAAATCAACATCAAATGCCACAGTTGTTAGCTATTTACTTTACCTTCCTTAAGTTCTCCTAATAAATTGCTAGGGATTTCAAAAAATCATAGGACTGCATCATGAAGAGCATTACAAGTGGGAATATTATATTTTAATTCATTATTTCATATTCTGATGATGTGATTTTTTATTTTGTTGATATAATATATTTGAGGCAATCCAACCTTCTATAGTATTAAAATAACGTTTCCGCAAAACTTGTTCTTCCTTATAAAGCACTTCTAGCTCAGCAAGTTGAGATGCTTGCATCTTCAAAATGGCAGCAGTCTGCTCATTCTTTCTGTCAATGTCCTGAAAGCATGTTCCAACTTATGGATTTAGTAAGCAAAATATACATGAACCAAATCATAAAATAATTGCATATGTACCAGAAATAGAGAACCTGATGCAAAAGCATAAGTACCTCTTTCATTTCTCTCAGTTCCTCTAATTCCTTCAAATTGTTCTGCAATGCAGCCAAATCTGCATTCGTGACTGCAAGAGTTGATTTGGAAGTGGCCAGATCTTGTGTGACCGTTTCCAGGTTCCGTTCAAGTTCAATCACTCGAAACTTTAAGGATTGGCGTTCCTGCTCAAGGTTTTTCTCAATAACTTCCATCTGCATTATGACCAACAGTGACATTAACCATTTTGCAGCAACAAGTCACCAATAGATGGTTAACAAATTCAAGAAGGTATCAATACCTCTTCAACTTTCCTTTCGAGTCTATAGATCTTCTGTTCGAGAAATATTTTTTCATTAGCTGATCTTTGCATTGTTTCTTCTGCTGCATGCAATTCCTCATTCCGCTGTTTCAATTCATCCTGGAGCTTGTGCAACACCTGTGTTATCCACAGTTCAAATTGACTAATACATCATAAAGCATGCAATATGATTCTATCGTATTAATAAGAACAGAGTCCAGACTAGAAAACACTGCAACAAATTACATACAAATCCAGAGCATAATAGTCATTTTATTTTATTTTTTTGGAATTGTACCTGATTATCAGCTCCAACTAAATTGTTTTTGGTATTTTTCTCTACTGCAAAGTAACTGAGGTTGGCCAAACTTGTTTCCACACTTCTTTTTTCTGATAATGCAGCCTAAAACTCAAAACTTAACATTAGCAAAATAGACATGGTAATTAAAGAAAGTACATAAGCCTCAGATTTAATAACACTAACCTGAAGAGCTGCATCCTTTTCAGCACATAATGACTCAAGTCTATCACGATCACACTCTACTTCTGCCAAGTTTTGCTTCTCTGATCTCAAGGAATCTTTCAAGGCCTCCAATTCCTCTTGCAATTTCACTTCTTGATTTTGCTTCTCATGCAATTCTTCCAATAGCTGGATAAGCATTTAACCGGTTAATCATAAGTGCAACTTCAAAGAGATGCATACAGAAAAAAATAATTCAGTTCTTTAAACAAGGGTCTCAAATCCATTCTATAATGAAACACTTGTTGATGATCATGCACCACTTGAAAATCACTTATGGGGACCAAGCTAGCCTTCAAGTATGTTAGGTTCCAATATAGACACCGATTGAAAATCATATATGCAAGATTTTACCGTAGAAGAAACTCATTCAGATCTGCTCTGCACTTAGTTGACATCTTAGCCCCAAAAATTAAACATGCAAGTCAACTATGAAGCAGGAAAAAGAACAAGACAAAATAGACAGACGCAGAAAAACCAAATCTTGACAAAAGTACAGAGATGCAACAATGAATACAAAGGTATTTCATATATTAACAATTTTTGACTGCCTGCATCCATTTTCTACACTTATTTTTCTTTATAATATTTTTCAATCAATAATTATTACCAAATTTAGACTTGATTTTCACATTTGAGCTGCATAAAAAATGACTTAAAATGCATCAAATACTTTATCTGATGATATCTCCCCTACATGCCCAAGACATCCAAAAGTGTTAGTTTTCACCACCACCGCATGCCACAACTGATCATAAATAAATAAATAAAAAACTAAAACTTTAGAGCATACCTGTTCAGTTTTCTTATGAGACTCTTCAATAGTTCTAGACAATTCACATAAACGTTTTTCATGCACTTCTGCACTGGGAGGCTTAAAATTGTTAGAAACATATCCATTCACTGAGCCACTAGCAGCAGTCCGAGCTTTAGAATAACGACGCAGCATAACATCATTTATGTGAGTTTGAAGAGCAACACAAATTTCTTCTCCCTGATAAACAAAGTTTGGTTACTCCAGCAAATACAGTAAAGAAGATCATGTTCCAACTATGGAGAACCAACATATAGGGAAGTGACAAATTTTTTAACCTGCTTGGTCTCAAACTGAAATATATGCAGAACACCAGCAACTCTCATCTTGAAGAACACAGCAGTATTGCTACTACCAAACTGCATTATGTCTCTTAATTCTGCTGAATGTAAATATTCCTTTGGAACTGGACGGAAAAAATGCACCTGTGGACCAATAAACAAAAAAAATTAAGGTCCTTTAGATTTCATGATCTAGAATGTGAAACGAATTTCACCATGTAGGGTGCAGATATATTTAGACTTACCCCTCGCTTGTTAATGCCCAAAATAATCCGTCCAGGCAAAAGTCCAATAGGATCATCAATCTTGCGAACGCTGAAGAAAACAGAATTGCCATACGGAAGTGACCTTAATATCCTCAGAAATTGTTGTCTTGCATCATCCTTTGTCAAATTTTCCTACATGGTAACAGGACAATATCAAAACAAGACTTTCACTATAGAACAGAGAATAGACTGACAGGCAAAATGCCAACATTCTAAAAGACTCTACTTTACAAAGATGGGTAGTAACGCATAAGATAAACAAATAGTAGAATATATTGAGTGCAATTGTTATCATTTTGGTACAATATTCTACCCCCTTTGATTCCTTGTTTAAGGTAGCTCCTTGGATCTATTCAATTGAATCTGACTAAAAGCGGTAAACAGAGTAGCAAAATCACCAGGAACTTGAAACCATAAGTTTTTGTTTTACATAATTTAAAGCGCACCAGTATACCCCTCGGCCAACCACATCTCTGATGTAGGTAGACACAAAAGTGGAAGATGAAATTAAACCATCAACCCCACAATTTAAGATGTTTTCTCAAACTAAAACAGAAAACAAACCAGAAAATAAAGTAAAAATAAAAAATATTTTGTTGTTAGACAAACAAAAATAATTTTTTATTCAAGACAAGGATAAAAATATACAAAAATCCTAGAAACAACTTGTTTTAAGCAATCCTTGATAACAAATCAATATTCACAAGTCAACAAGCAAGTTATAAACATTGATTTGAACAACAGAAACATTTAAGACAATCAAAGTTTCCTGAAAGTTATGAAGACAGGAGTTTCAGATTTTAGTTCTTACCATTGAATGGTAACGAGAAAGAATATCCAACTCCCACTCCCTCTTTCCTCGTGTAATTGCAATTTGTCTAGGAAGAAAGCGCTCTAGGAGAGAAGTCCATTCACTGCAAAATATATTAGCCTCAGCATGTCAAAATTCATAGGAATAGAGAGTAAGAGAGTAACTTGAGATCAAAATATGACCATAAAGTCTACCCCTTTGTGGTCAAGCCTTAAACTAAGTCACTATGATTCCAAGATGAAAGAATATCCAAAAATCATTGCAAGTTCAGCAGTAAAAATGCTAGAATCTAACTTAAATTAGACAAACAAAAAAGGGAAGATAGAAACTACTAACACAGATAATTCAGGACTAACAACATATCCAATGTCAACCAATATCTGCAACGCAGACAACTGTGCAGCATCCTCCCTCCCAACAGGATAATTGCCCAATATATAGTCATGTTGCAACTGTAGCAATATAATCATGCATCAGTAAAGCAAGAAGCTATGGCTATGCTACACTATAGAAATAGCATGGATGATCTTTCCAAGCTTTAATTTGAAGTTACAGCTATTCAATGATATTTAAGGGCAAGCTTACGCACTTGAACATATGATAATTGCACAAACATTGGTTCTGTTACAGCTTCATCTGACTCCCGAAATAGTTTTTTCTTAAATATCAGTTTGCAATGCAAAATTTCTCCCTTGCTTCGATCCTTGGCTGCCTTGAATTCTCCTAACAAATCTCCAATATATTTGTTATCATCTAACCCAATGTACTCCTCTGCATGAAAACAAGGTGCAGATTAAATGACAACATCAATTGATCTTAGTCAAGGAAAACAACCAAGAAAACCAGAGGATACATACCATTCCCAGGATCAGGTGACTTGGAACCAGACACAACTTTATGGCATTCAAAGAGACTGAAGCTAGGAAATGCTGATAGCTTAATTATCCCAGCAAGTTCCTGAAAAATGTACGAATTACATTGATGTAATATTATTTCAAATTGCAAAACAAAAAAATAAATCAGTTCTCACAGGTCGATAAGCTTAGCTATCACTTTAGCCCACAATGCCAAGCAGACCATCAATAATGGTGGCATCTAGTAAAACGAGTTTTGCATCTAGTAAACACCTACCAATTTATGTTATGCTTTTAATTTGAGAAAGAAATAACAAAGCAGTGGCTTAAGTGATGGCTGAACACCCCAGTTGGTGGGAAGGCTAGACCAGCCACAGTAGAATGGCCATTGCAGTTCTATACTCTTTGTTTAACCACGTTCAATCCAACTAGAATCAAACATCAAGCTCACAAGCTCCCTGGACGATTCACAATCATCACAATGGTTTTCAAAATATACTTTTGGATGTTTTCTTGTCACTATGATACATGAAATTGTATTCAGTAAGCATTTCAAAGTTCTGTACAGGTGTGTTCTTCCCGAAAACCTCGCAAAAGTGAAACCCACAAGCCTGGCTGTCAAACAAATTCAAATTGAAGATATGCACAGCATGACCCCATTTATAGTCGCATGTTCCTTTTGTTCTGCATAATCATTCCCCATTGCTTCGCCCAAGTGGAGATTGATTTCAAAAATTTCCATCAAAACATTAATTCTCCTTTCAACCATTTCTAAGCACTTCTTCCTCTGTTTGCATATATCTTTGAGAAAATTATAATCAAAATAGCAGATCCAACTGCAATGATTTCTTCTTCTTTTTTCCATGTTGAGATTGAGTTTCTTGTTTCACTATATCTATCCTACCTGGAATGAAACCATAGAAGATAGATTTGATGGCCTTTTAAAATACCTCAACAGCATCAGACACTGTCGTCGCCATGTCATATGTGATTTCTTCAAAAGTTTCATCCAGAAAAAACACTATTGTTGTAAGCTTTCGACCAGTTAGAAGAGCTTCAATTTCCTCACGTCCTGGTATTGTATGCCTTGGACCAGCTTTGACAGAACGCTTCAAAGCGTTTAGTGTATTTAATGCAAGGACTTGGACCTCAGAATCAGTATTTGCACCATAAGCTACATTATGGACATACTCAGACAAATATCCACCAATGTCCTTGCTAGGAGGCATAGAAGAAGCACATAAGTACATTAGCTCCCATCCTTTAATCAAGTATTGCCTGCGTTATGAGAATCAGAAAAGCTAGGTGGCATTAGATAAGGGGAAAAAAAAAGTATTTAAAGGAGAAACAATCAGAGGTCCAAATAAAATCAAGCATGCAAACCAAGCATCACCATTACATGTATAAGAAAGATTTGTCCACTGGGAATCAGCTCTAGTAAAGAAAGGCCAATCAGGATGGGTTTTAAATTCACAAATTACAAGATGAGGAGGAAAAACAACTTGCTAATAGAAAGCTAAATAAAAATCAAAACAAAAGAAGCTATGCATGCCTGTCAGGGTTGTTCCTTGTTTGCTTTGAAATCTGAGCAAAAATTTCATCTCGAAGTTCCGCACGTTTTAATGTGTGCTTGAACAATTTTCCAACTAGCTCAATTCGTTCATCTAAGCTTGTTGGAGCTACTCTATCGGATGAATCAACTCCCATGTACTTCAAAATTATCTGGAAGAGTTTAGTGGCACGGCTTACAAGGTCACTATTAATTTTAAGCAATGAAGTTGGTATCGGATCCTGCAAAAGAGCACTAACTTAGCACTTCATGACTAAATATATCTTTGACAGAACATTCTTCCTTGATGCACAGCATAATTTTACCTTTTGGAAACACAGCATATCCTCAAATGTGAACTTTTCCCGAACTTGAGGGCCTACAGATTTTTTAGAAAAGAATCCACGTTTCCCAGTGGATTGGATTTGTTTCTGCATCAACTTTAAGAATCCCTCAACCTGCATTGAACAAAAATTATGTATGATTTTGCAAAAATATAAATGACTGCAACAACTGTTGCTCAATTCCAAGCCAGTTTGGGTCAGCTTAATGCATACTTCTGCAACATTCAACTTGATCACAAACCAAATCCGCATAAGAAGGTAAATGAATAGTGGCCAAATATGATAATCATAAGCTTAGTTTGGATTCAACTCATTATATTCAAGCAAGTAAACACAAATGAGAAGTAGAAGTTCTTCCACATTATTACTTTAACAGCAAAAGAACTTATTTATTTGTTACCTGGAATTTATCAATCAATGGTATGGCACCAGCAAGTTCTGCCGGAATAACTGAGGAGAGGGTTGCTGGTGTACTGTGAGAAAAAACAATAAATAACATTAAGAGTTAGAGGTTAGATAAATTCTAAAAAAAAAAACCATAAAAATTACTTCCTTGAAGTTCTAAAGCTATCTAGTCATCTTTTACAAGCAAAGCAACATGGAGACAATCAAAAGCCACACGTAGGACTCCTGTAACAAGGCCAACAATATAATGCACCAGTATTAACCGGTCATAAAATCAAAAGCTAAGGCAACAAGAATTGGACAGGCAAAACCAGTGAAAGACAATGCACCTGAGAGAAGGTTTATCAAGTCCTTCACATTTTACCATGTTAAAGCTTTTGAATAAAATCAAGATATACAAGATCAAAAACTTAGACCCTGTAATTAAGTCCGACGCTACTTTCCGTCCGAGTTTCATAGCATCGCAACAGTAAACAAAGATAAAAAGCCAACAATGAAAGTAACAAATACGGAGCTAAAAATGGTGTAGAAGGCTTACGGGGTTGCGAAATTGGAGCCATCGCTATCATATCCATCCCCATTTGAGAAAGAAGCAGAAGGGTGCATAGGAGTCTCTTCATTTCCATTAGTGGAGCTAAAAGAAGACCTGCTTGATCTTATACTTTGAGCCATTAACGACTGCACATCAAGTTTCATTTCCCAAATACAAATAACCCTACTTCACATAGCAAACAATCGCTTCCTCGAATAAACCAATCTCGCCACCATATAGCTCCCCCAGCTACCTTTTCTTAATAACTGCAAAAGACAAACACTTTAAAGATGAAAACACAATCTTTATCTAAAAGGGTATCCAAAATTACAATCCAAGAAGTGAAGAAACACACACACACCCCTATCAATGTAGATCCACAATGCAATCTATCTAAAACAACAAAAGAAACAAAACCCAGTTAAGGATATGGCGCTGAAGTGACGAGAAGTGAAAAGGAACTAAAATATATCAATCAAGAAATGCAGACACAAAATGGGAACCAAGAAAAAGTTATCACCTTTTTAAGCTGACAATCAAGAAAGGAGGAAACTTCGAGGGATTAAGAGATCTGAAATGGTGATGGTGATAGGATATTGATGGCAGTGATGAAAAACGTGTGAAGAGAGAGGAAGAGTCACGAGAATGATATAAATGGGAGAGGAGAGGAGAGGAGAGGAGAGAAGGAGGAGGAGCAATGTCTTCTTCTATTTCCACACTTGTTTTCTTCTTCTCTTTTTGGTGTCCTTTCTTGTGTTCTGTTGCGGAGTACATTAATCAGCAACTTCAAAATTCAAATCTAGAAATCAAACATTATCATGGATTTATTGTATTTTGCTACAAAATCTCTCTTTTGATGAAGTATGCAATAGGAGGACTATAGTAATCCTTGTTAATGACCTTTTAAGATTGTTTTTATAAATAAATTAGATTTTAATATTTTATTAATATATTATTCAATTAAAAATACTCATAAAAAAATTATATATAGTTTCCATGTAGCATGTATTGATGTAATTTATGCGTCTATTTGTTTCAGCGGATGTTTGTATTTTTTCTTAAATGTAATTTTTTTATTTTAAATTAATATATTTTTAAATAAAAATTATTTTAAAATAACGGATAGCCTACATTTCCTATTTAAGCTTGAGCAACTAGCCTTGTTTTTTTTTTTTTTTTTGGGGAATTTCAAAAGGTTGCCCCACCCCACAGAAGTCCGCCTTTTATATTTCAGCACTAGGGTCCCCTCCAAGATTTTGACTTGGCACCTTATAGGGACCCCATTTTCATGATCTTGGGCTGTCTATGCTGCTTTATTTATTTATTTATTTCACATTTTGAGATGTGAGCCCCATTGCCTTTTGTTAGTGCTTGATAATCAAATTAATATATAAATTCAAGATTTGATTAAGAACACTTTTTGTGGAATAGTGCAAGAGTTTTGATAATGTCTCTCTTTTTTTTATAGGGAAAATTGTTTTAACATTGTGAAGAAACATGCAAATATCTCAAAACTTTCTCTCTTTTTTTAGTATTTATATGGAAGATGAGATTGAGGGATTGTTAGAAAGTATCATTGTGATTAATTTTAAAAGTATATTTATCTAGAAATATATTAAAATAATTTTTATTTTTAAAAAATTATTTTTAATATTAGCACATCAAAATTATTTAAAAATATAAAAATTTATTTTAAACAAAAAAATTTATTTATTAAGAAATATTATTTCAACCATGCTTTTAAAGGATCATTAAAGCAACATGGTTATAAATTTTGAATTTTATTTTGTTTCACATTAATTTTTGAAGTTTTTTATTATTATTTTAACGTGTTGGTATCAAAATTAAAATAAAAAATAATTTTAATATATTTTAAAGTAAAAAATATTTTGAAAAACAATTGTTAAAGATGTACTTGACATTATAACAGTTATTGTGATTCTAATTTTAAAAAATAGGCTTGAAAAAAATTTGTAAATTATAATTTTTAGTCAAGATTTCAATAAAGACTTTAGGATTAAGGGTTTACTTCCCTGTAGTTTCAAATTCAAGTCCTATAATTATTGATATAATTGTTAATATAGTCATTAGTTTTAGGGCATGTGAAATTAGTCGAGTTATACGCAAAATGGCTCAAATATCTATATTAATAACATGAAAAATTTAATAAAGAATTTCAAACCAAACTTATATAAAATTATAGTGTATTGACTAACTAAATACTTTAAAAAATATAGTTTAAACACTTCCAAATAGATTCGAAGCAATAATATTCTACTAGCTATTACTTCATGCAATGTCAATAAAATTCATCTCTTGGCTAGTATTTTGTCACCAACTTGGAATAAAAAGAATAGAGATAAGTGGGACATAAATCTGGTTGAAGAAGTGAGATAGAAATGTAAAATAATTTTATTTTTTAAATAATTTTAGAGTTAATGGCTAAATTTTCAAATATAGAGTATAGAAAAATCATTAGTTTTATAAAAATTCATGTATAGAACGGGAAAAAAAATACTTTTATTCCATCTCATTAACACCAAATGAAGTTTTTATTTTGCTAAAAAAATGCCTCGAAAATGTTTAAGATTGAAAATTTTTCTTGCTGCTGTAATTCATTAGTGTGAACTCTCACCACTAATCTCAAAAATCCCAAATTACAATAAAAAATCTCACATGATCCTTGAACACACGCATCATTTGTAATGCATGCAGAAATTTGAAATGGACCCATAAATTTCGTGTCCTTAGTACTTGGAGCCTTGGACAGTTCATTTGATCCTTTCCAAAGGGAATAATGGCCTAACAATTAGTCACAATTATTGCTTTACAGGCACATGCATGTTTGTGCCCCAAATGACCCATTCAATGGAAATTTGCTGGATTGCCGGCCATGTCGCCGTCGGCACGTCTCCCACCTGTATTTCTGCCTGCCAAAGGTATGCATATTCACTGTGGATTCATCCTTGCGTGAACAGCAA